CGGTCACGGCCAAGCGTGACAGTGACCGTGACTAATCTTTGAATAATCTTCGTGACCGTGACCGTGACTAATCTTTGAATAATCTTCGTGACCGTGACCGTGACCGTGACCAGACAGATCGTGACCGTGACTGATAAATCTTGGTCATAGTCAAGCAGATCTCTAAAACTGACTTAACTTATAATTGAATTGCGAAGTGAAAACATCTATTTTTCTATAATGTTCATATTCAAAATTAAATCTGAATTAAAATCAGCAAAAAAATGTAAGAAAAACAACAATATTGATTAATATAAATTACAACACTATTTCTGTTTCTAAATTTTCTTCTTCACTTTCATAATCATCACTTGATAAGTCATATTCATCTTCTTCAGCAACTTTAATTTTCTTCAGAATGTTAGAACTATCATCATTATCTTCTTCAAATGCATCATTAGGTTTTCTTTTTGGAATAATTGTTGTTGAACCGTTTTTTAAATCAAACATATGCTTGAGTGGAGTTAAATTTTTTCGTAGAAACATAAGTTTATCAATCTTTTCTGAACCCAACCGTGTTCTACGATCACCAATCATGATTTTGGTTGAGGAAAATAATCTCTCAACTGAAGTGTTAGATGCAGGTATAGCTAACACTTTTTGAGCAATACTAGCAATTGTCGGAAATTCTTTTTTTTTTCTTCTCCAAAATGATAATATATCATCATCAATTATTTCAGAATCAAAATCACCTTGCAGCCATAGCTGTACTTCATCAGGTGGTGGTTTAGCAGCTCGTGGTTTATCAAAACATAAAGATAAAATATTTGATTTTGTAGATGTTATTGATTTATCAATACTTGATGATTCAGATGAATCACAAGTTGATGAATTTGTATTAAATGAACTGTTGGGAGAAACAACAGCTGACTGTAATAATTGAATAGCTTGATCTTTCAATGATTGATTGCCACAAAAATCTCGTAAACGAGGATGGATCAAGGTTGAGAGTAAATGTTCAGATTGAATTGGCCATTTCATTTTAATTTCTTCTTCTATATAATGAAAAGAGTTAAAAAAAAAAATTATAAAATGAAATATTATGATAGATGATCGATGAGTGAAATACAAGCTAAGTTCTAGAAAGTCTAAATAATCAAATTATTTTATCCAAAGTCTATATGGATCGTGTATCTGATACAATATCTGATATTGAAGCGCCAAACTTGTATAGGTGAATTTATTTTGAAAAGTCTGTTAACTCTGTACTTAATATACACGATTTCGTCGAATGTGCATAAAAAAACTCTATTAGCTTTAGTATTTACATGCTTCACCTACTTAAAAACTCTTTTAATTTAATGATGCTTAATGAATCATCTGCTTTTGGTGCACAATGATTATTCAAAGCCATACGTAATGGTATAACCTTGTGAAGTGTTGGTTGAGTTTCATCATTTAAAGTTTTAATAACATCATCAAATACTCGAAAAAAATCACAAATGTGAGATAACAAATCTTGATCAATAGACTCAAAATCATTATAATTAGGACCACTGAAAGTATCAATAAGTTCATTGTAAGTTAAGTTGAAGACATTCTAGAATACATCATAATTTAATACTGAACAACGACCTATTTTTCGTTAGAGGCAACTTACCATCATATAGTAGGCTCCACTAAAGCGAGTTGAACTATAAGTCTGAAGCTTCCTCGACAAATTTATTTGTCGATGACTTCGACGAAAATTTGCTACAAGACTTTTAACAACATCAAATGTTTGAACTACTTCAACACAACCACTTTTTGATAATGTGAAAGAATGTTCCAATATTTTATTTATGTAATGATCACTGCAGCCTACACGATTAGCACCACGTAGAGCAGCAATCATCTTAGGTTCATTATCTGTGATAATGAACGAATTTGTATTTAGCGAAAGACCATATTCCAATAATAGTTCATCAATAAATTTTCGAATATTTGGAGCTGTTTGATTTTCTAGTGTATACGGTTTACAACAAAGACAAAAATTGTGTAAATAAAAGTCTGAATCAGTTGCACGAACAGTAACACCACAGAAATGTATGCCTAAATTTTGAGTAAAAAATTATAAGAATTATTAAATAAAAAAATTTACCACTATACTTTTCGGTCCACATGTCCACAACAACTGTATAGCTATCAAGCGCTTTGCACCAACTAATAAGTTGTTTTTTTCTAAACTCGTATATTTTGTCGATTTTACGACTTACCTACGATGATAATGAAATTGTATAACTTTAAAGTCATAACAGTATACTTACTGTCGTAGGATGTGGTAAATAATCAGAAATGTCAATTGATTGAGTATTAGATGATGATTTTCCTGAATTATAAATCACTTGAAGAAATTGTTTAAAACCAATACCAGATGCGATTTCGAATGGACGAGCATCTAATATTATGAAATCAATATAAGCATCAGCTATTTTTTTTTTAAGTTTTTCTGGTAAAACTGATGGTTTCTTTTGTCCGTAATACACTGTAATACTTGATTGTGTTGTATTTGATGGTGTATTTTTTTCACAAGATGCTAAATGTTTTTTCAAACCACCAGTGCCAGTTGCTTTTTTATAAGTGATGATTGACTGACATTTATTACATAAAACAAAATGTTGAACTATATCATTGACAAGAATAAGGCTGAACGCCGGTAAGAACGATGAACCACGATCAGTTTGTTCAGCTTTTTTCAATTTGATAGATTTGTCATTATTTTTCAAAAGAAATTCAAGTTGAACACGTGTTAGTAGTTTAGAAGTCATAATATCCAAGATTAAGTAAATTCTTCTAGACACTCGACCAAAAGAAATTCATAGAAATTTTTCTTATTCAGCTGAGTTATCCACCGGTGACAAAGTTTATTGGACTTTTTGCGAACTAATATCATTCTAGAAAAAAAACTCAATTGTAATATTCATCGATAGATGCCGCTATTTATCAAGACTATTTTTATTGTAACGATTGCAACTTTTTCGAAATTCATATCATTCTTACAATTGTGATCTTGACTGAGATCGTGTCAGTGATCATGACTATGTTCATAAAATCTTCGTGACCGTGACCGTGACCAACTTCGTAAAACCTTCGTGACCGTGACCGTGACTAACTTCGTAAAATCTCCGTGACCGTGACCGTGACCGTGACTAACTTCGTAAAATCTTCGTGACCGTGACCGTGACCGTGACTAAGTGGTTCGTGACCATGTCGTGACCGTGACCAAAAAATCGTGGTCACGCAGGTCACTAATAGTCAATTATATTTGGACACAAAGAAAATCAACTTTAACCTTGAATACAATTAAAGAAACACAAGAATATAGAAATTGTTGTACAAGATTTCCAAAATGGGAATTATTAATTCAAGAAGCTATCAAAGATATGCTTTTTGATGTGAATAATTTTGAGTCTCATAATTATATTGTTAAAGAAGATAAAATTGGATACATTGAGCAGGATAATATAATCTATGATGTTGTTTATGGATATAAAACATTATTTGCATATTATTTTGAACATGAAAAAGGTAAACTAAGTAAAGAAAGTTTAGAAGATAACATATGTATACGAATTAAATGTGGTAGTTTTTCTTACGCTGAAACTTAACTTGAATTTAAATATATCATGGGTATTACAGAAACATTAATAACTTTGAGTGATCCAGAAACAGCAATTGTAAAAAATATATATAAAATCAATAAGAGTACAATAACTCCATCGATATTTGGTAAAAAGATTCTTAACTTTTCAAAAAAGGTTGATATTATGATTGAGAATAGTGCTGACTATTTTAATGTGATAAAAAGAGAAATCAATGATAGATTAGCGGGAACATTATCCAGAAAACGTGCTGCATTAGTTTTTTTTGAAATAGAAAAAAAATTAAAAGAATTTTATGAATCAAAAACTTTTGAGCCTATGAAAGAGTCAGTTGCTTATCTAACAGAAGAAGCATCATTAGTAGAAAAAGAAATTTTAATTCAAGGTGCCACGAGATCTGGTCAAATAACTTTATTTACCAAGAATTTTGGTAGAGGAACTGACTTTTTGTCATAATCTAAGAGTTGCTTCAAATGGTGATATACATGTTATCAAACGTTTCTCTCCGAAGAAATGTCAGAAGAAGTACAAATAAAAGGTAGAACAGCAAGGCAAGGTGATTATGGTTCTTATAGTATGATTTTACTCGATAAAGATGTCGAAAAATATCAAATAGAATGCATTGATATTGAAAATTTTAGAAATGGTAAACCAGTTAGAGCTCTTGCTTTAACTACCACCGAGAATATAACAGAATCATCTAAGAAATATGATTCTGTATATGATCTTCTTGATGATAGACGTACGATATTTTTTAAAACTAAGTATGAAGCTAATAAAATATATGTCGAAGAAGCAAGAAAAAGACACAAGATCGGCCTAAAATTATTATCAAGTATCAAATCGGGTAAAATCGATGCTATAAGACGAATTTTGATTGAAGAAAATAAAGGAGTTGAAGGTAGTTCAGTTTCACGAACTATTTGTCTTATGGATGCAACGGGTTCTATGAGTCATCTATTACAGAAATCTAAGAACACGGCTGATATCATGTTTAAACGTGCTTCGACAATATTAAATGAGAATAATATTGATTCAGACTTATTTCAAATTCAATTTGTAGTCTATCGAAATTATTGTTGTCGAGAGGATAAGATTCTTCAACATTCTCCATGAGAAAAAAAAAATCAGATAACTTACATGCTTTTATGAGTACCATCAACGTTGAAGGAGGTTTAGGCAATGAAACTATTGAAATTGGTCTATGGCATACTAATAAAGAGAATGAAAGAGAAAACATTACACAAGTTATTTTGATTGGTGATGCACCTCCTAATACCAAGACTGAAATAGATGATAAAAGAAAATGTCATGGAGAAGATTACTGGAAAAAAACTAAATGTGCACAACCAACATATTATGAAGATGAGTTAGCAAAGCTAACATCATATAAGATACCAGTACATGCCTTTTTTGTAGATAATAGAGCAGAACAAAGTTTTCAACAGATTGCTTAGCGAACAGGAGGTAGATGTCAACTATTAGATATAAATTCTTCTTCAGGTTCACAAATGTTAACAGATTTAGTAACTGAAGAGATTCTAAGAAATGTTGGAGGAAATTCGAAAGGAAATGCTCTTGTTGAAGCATATGGAAAAAAATTCGGAAAATCCTATACATAAATATGAAATTTCTTGAATAAACTTTGCGTTATTTTGTATCGGTGATACTTTCATTACTTATGTTCCCCACATATTTTGACAGATTGCGTATGCGTTTTTGAAGTATTCCAATGCTTTTGCTTTTTTTTCAATGTTAATTGTTTTTTTTTATTATCAATTGTATTTATCCTTTTGCTTTATAATGAATAATCTTGATGAGTAGTAATCATTTTTTTTATCTATTCGAACTAAAATTTTGAATAAACAATGCAATACATACGATATTTTTCAATTTTTTTTCATCTCTCAAATTTTAATAAACATTCATTATTAATGCGGTTTGAGTGGGTGTGTATTGAAGCTCAAGATTTTATTTAGATATGTGAGCGAGACTTACGACCGGTTTCGACCTTGCTGAAAGGTGTGGGGGGGTGTGTGATTGAGTTAAGAGAAGACTCACATGCTCAAGATAAGTCGTTATATCTAATTGACACTGATAATAGAAAAAGAGATAAATTAAATAAATAAATTTAGCTTTGTTGATAAATTATTTAGTCTTACATTATTGCCTATTAATATTTTCATCAAACATCGGTTTTAGATTTATGGATTTTCATTTAATTAATTTCGTCATATGTAAAATAAAAATGATTACCATTTGATTTCGGTATCATCATCTTCACCTTCACCAAAATCATCAGTTGATACATTAGTTAAAAAAAAAACTCAAATGTTGATTTAAATAATTCCAAAGTAATAAATAATCTGTTGAAAATCCATATCAACGAATGCTTCGTTGTAAAAAAAATGGTAAAAGTCTATCTAGTGATATTTGACAAAAATTTGGTTTTCTTGCTTGACAACGAGACCAAAATTCAGATAAACATCAAGTCAAAAAACATAAAGTTTTTAAAAAAATTTGAAAAGAATTTCATGAAAACTGGAGAAAGGTGAGGCGGGGCGAGGAGTGAAAAAGCTTCCCCGTTCTGGCCTCTGATACGTATATCTATATAT